CATTGGACCAGGCTGCCCAGGGAAGTGGTGGAGTCCCCATCCCTGGAGGTATTTAAAAGACGAGTAGATGAGGCACTTATGGACATGGTTTAGTGGGCATGGTGGTGTTGGGTCAATGGTTGGACTCGATGATCTCAGAGGTCTTTTCCAACCTTAATGATTCTATGATTCTATGATTCTAATGCTTTTTCTGTATTATTTGTTAGTTTTTAAGTATTGTGAACATCAGGATGGACCTATGAAGTGTTTTTCACAGCTGCGTTTTTAATCCCTCTTTCAGTTGTTAAAGTCATATACAACTCACATGGTTTCAGCCATCTAAAATATAGTTTTCCAGGCTAAGCTAGACTTAGAATGATAGAGTCATAGAATGGCTTGGATTGGAAGGGACCTTTGATGGTCATCTAGTCCAACCCCCCTTCCATGGGCAGGGACATCTTCAACTAGATCAGGTTGCTCAGAGCCCCGTCCAACCTGACCTGGAATGTTTCCAGGGATGGGGCATCCACCACCTCTCTGGGCAACCTGTGCCAGTGTCTCACCACCTCATCGTAAAAAATGTCTTCCTTATATCTAGTCTGAATCTACCCTCTGTTAGTTTAAAACCGTTACTCCTTGTCCTATTGCTACAGGCCCTATTTCTAGGGTCCTTCTTTGTCAAAAAGGAAACAAAGAATTTCCTGAAAATGGTAGCTAGGTTAGGTGGAATAAATCTCCATGTAAAGGGATCCATGTCCCTACTCTGTTTTTTGAGGGAACCTGAAGGACTGATTTCTCTGCGGCAGTAATCTTCTGAAAAAAGGCAGAGGACAGTAATGAATACTTAGTGGATGAAGGTCTATGGAAAGATTATAAGAGGAACTGGAGAACAAAACTGCATCGTTTATTTTTTCCCCTTTTGTTTTAAAGAGCTAAAGATAACTATTGAAGGCATCATTCTGAAAGGTTTACTCACAGTAAGTGGTACTTTCTCACTCAGGTATTCCTTTGTGGTGAACACTCACAATCAGTGCAGTTACCTCACAGCTGTAGGTGAAAGAAAGATCCTCTGAATCCCCACGTAGGATTTTGAGGGGTGAGCTTCATGTATTGAGGATAAGATTTTTACAGTCTGTCTACATATGGAGTCTTTTTCAAATACTTCAATACTTTGCATTTGTAAATTATGCACAAAACTTCTAAGATCTTTACATATGCATTATTTACATTGTTAAATGCCTTCTCAGTTTTTACAAAAATGATTGTGTGAAAGCTTTGAAAGGATAAAAGATGTCTCCAAGCCAATAAGGTAGAAAAGAGTCAGTCGTTGCACATCTGCAAAAGAGCATATCTGAACTAAAGTGTGTTACAACAAAGGTATTTTCATTCATAGAGAGAAATCTGACATATATAGCAGTATACAGCTGATATAACGTATGGGACAGCCCTGCCTGGTATCTTTCTAAAGTTTTTCAAGGAAAAATACATCAGCAGAACCAAAAATTTCTGTGCTATTTTATATGAGAGGAGTTCTCCCCTTAAATCTGATAAGTAAGACTTGAAATAAGATGCTGATATAAAAAAGTCTTGAAAGTTCATCCACTGTCGCTTGTCCTTCTGAGACATCAGTGGTAGCTTTCTGTGTCTGAATAATGCCTAGAGGCACTGTGATCCTTCTGTTAGATTTTCCTCTCCCATCCATTGCCTCTCAATGGATTACCCCGTGTAGGTAGGCACAGATGTGTGACTCTGCTCCCAGCTACTGTCATCTCGTAGAGTTCCTTCAGATACCTCAATTTTGGTCTCTTTTAATTAAGCAGCCATTATCATCACTTCTTGGATGGTGTTAGTTTACCTTAATTTAGCTTCAATTTTCTTCTTTCTGCTTTCTCTTGTTTTAGGAGGCAGTGACTTCAAAGGTAGCGACTCACCACACAGGAGTTCTCCAGTGAGTCTTCTGTAGGTTGAACATAGTTGCTTTCTGATCAGTTCCTAACAACTCCCGCTTTTTCTTGGAGCTAGCATTTAGTTCAGTTTATATTCTTGACATTAACAGTGCTACTATCCATTTATTACTGTTGGACGTAATAAGACATATTATGTAATTACCTGTTTTTCATAGCTCCTACTCAATTCCCTTATTGTGTCCTTGAAACAGTCTAAATAAATCTATGCCAATAATGAATTTTTTCACCATTTCACTTTCTTCTCCCTTTCAATAAACATATTAACAAAGAATCTTGATGCTCATATTGCCACTGAGTGTACCTCATCAATCACTGTATTCTGTGCTTTGCCATGAAAATGATTTCAACATTTTTTTTCCTGTCATAACCAATCTTCAAAATACAGCACATTTTCTCCCCCATCCAAAAATGGGACAACACACTTTCTTAAAAAGTTAATCTGGGATGCTCCAGTGAAAAGCTTGTTAGGATCCAAATAAACAATATCAATCCATTTCTTCTTGATTACCCCTACACAGTTGAAGGGTGTGACTGTAACTCAGAAATCTTGCAGTTAAATATGGTATCCTGTAATAGGCTTGAAACACAAAGGTTATTTCGATAGCTATATTGACTCAGTGACAACAAAAGATAAAATACAGATAATTTTGTAGAGCAGTTTGTGGTGGGTTTTTCTGATGAACAAATGTATTGGAAGGATCTAATTCATTCACCTGAGCTTGGCATAATGACTGTGTATTCTAAAATCAAGCCTGTTTTATATTACAAAAATATAGCTATCTACATCCCCTTCTTGAAAACCCAGCGTGGTTAGGACAATACTCGGATGTCGTTTTTTAGCATTAGAAACTGAAAGGAGCATCATTAGGACAAATACTACAGAGGAATTATTTTTCTACATGGTAGCTTCAAATCTGCTGTGCTCATCATAGTTGTTGGGGTGAATTTCATGTGATTTCTCCTCTTCTGGAACCTGCCATGAAAATCAGAGAAGAGTTCAGTTGATGAGACATGGACTTCCTTTTGCCATAAAAGGAGACTAAAGTGCACTGAGAATGTAATTCTGTTTGTATATGTTATGTGTCTATTTATTAACGTTGACCGAGCCTGACATGGACCACCAGTTCTGAATTCTAAGGAATGAATTCAGGGTTTTCTTAATAGAAGAATTCCTTAACACTGATGTTAGCTACGAGAGTGCAAAATTAATATCTGGGATTTTCAAAGAGCGCTAAAGGAACAAGGTGACCATCTCTAATGACATGTAAATGATGTTGTATGCCACATATCTATGTCCCTTCCCATTGCCTGATAAAGCTCACTTAGAATAGAATATTTCCGAGCAGTTCTACTAATACTACAAGACCTTCAGTTGAGCAGGGTTGTATTATTATCACTGGTCAACACAGGCTGTGAATTCTTCAGCCACACTTTAAAACTTTCCGTTTCCTGACATTTTTTATCATTTACATATCACAGCCTATTTCAGGTCTTGCCGAAAAACAGTGCTTTGACTTTCCTGAGGTCAAACAGCGAATGACTTGCAGAGCTGTCATTAAAAGTTGTTTCTCCTGATTGTCATTGCTACAGCTGCTCTTTTGGCTCAAAACTTCCCCTTAGACTGCAAACTTTCTCTCACCAAATTGTGTGGTTCATACTGGAGTTTAATTCATTAAAAAACTAGTAAAATATTTTGCGTTCACAACATTTTATTTACAAGGAATGTATATCATGTATTTCTTCTTGTCGTGCCTTTTTGAGTTTGTCCTGGCATAAAGGATAAAATACAGATTGCCTAAATTAAGAATCTGTCATCAGTCTAATGAAGGGAGATGCAGAAAGCCTACAAACAGTACAGGGAGCTTCTTAGGTTAGCCAAGAGGAACGGTATGTCTGAGTTTCTGCTCTGCACTTGATTGTAGGCATCCAACTCAGAGATGTATGTGGGACTCAACTGATCAAATCTAGGTCTCTACGGTATAGAGCTCTACATCTGAGGCAGGCGATGAAAGGTCTTTCATTATCAGTGGGGAATATAGAGAATATAGAGACTTTCAAGGTTTTAATTCATGTAACCTAACATAGATCTGGAAGGATTCGAATGAACTGCAATCTAGAGCCATCCCTTCATTAGTGCAAAGGGAGCCTAGCAGGGCTATTTCAGACGTACTTGTTTCTCAGCCCCATTGTTTGTGTCTTCATGCATAAAACAATAGTGCCAGGAGGCCCGTCTTCTTCCGACAACCTCAGTGGTCAGATCATTCAAACAGGAAACAGAAGAGCTTCTGCTCAGCCTAAGGGAGACTCACCCTACAAATACTGAAGAAGTGCTTTAAATTTCATTCAGTATGAAATTCTAGATGACGCTAGAAAAGCTGCACCATTTAGCCAAAAATGCAAATATCATGTCTAAACTACGAGAAGGAAGAGGATACCTGACACAGCGAGCACTTAAAAGAGAGATAAATAGCTCCACTGAGGTCTCAATTTGTTGGCTCTATTTCCGCTTTTTGTTCACAGTTAGTCCAATGTAAATGGCATGACTAGCTAGCAAGTCCAAAAAAGATCCTGAAGGTGGCCTTGATAAATTCACAGCCTGAGGCAGAGCAACATTTTTGAAAGCTGACTCGTGTGCAAGCCACAAACCCCAGGAGAGCAGGACTGCAGTGTGCCGTACCTCTTCCAACATAATGAAAATAAAGGGAGGTTGTATCTTACCTCCCAATAAACAGAGTCATCAAAGCAGTTCTGGTCAGGTGCTTGTCCCAAGAAGGGCAGCTTTAGAATACCACCTGCAGGAAAAACAGCATCAGAGGTTAAAAAATGGACAAGATGCCCAAATAAATGTTCCTCAGATATGCCCTGGGGAGTCATCTGAGTTTTCTGACTCGTTTCCTAGTCTACAGAAATGCCCAACCATCTTGGGACATCAGGTCACTCATTATGAGAGGTGATGCAGGTTTCTTCATGTCAACACAAATAAGAACTTGTTTTTAATTGCTCGAACCTTTCCCAGATTTCGGACTGGAATTTTCTATTTCAGCCTGAATTTTTGTTTGGAAAGTATCCACAATCACATGGAAACATGTGACACCTAAATGAATATGTCTTAATCTCAAACTAGTTACTGTTCAGAATTTTAAGTGTCTGAATCTAGAGAAGAATTCCATCCAGAACAACGTCTGTCCTGGTTTCGGCAGGGATAGAGTTAATTTCCTTC